ATTTTTTAAAAATATTTCCAAAATTTTTCCCCCAACGTTTGCGCAGTGGAGCAGACAGGTGGCGCCAGCCGACATAGCGATCAAGGCGCTTGACATCATCACCATAGTGATACCGCCGGCGTTGCCGGCGGCCATGACAGTTGGCAAGCTGTTCGCCCTCAATCGCCTCAAGCTGTCAAAGATTTTCTGCATCAATTCGCGCGTCATCAACGTGTCAGGGTCGGTGGACTGCGTCTGTTTCGACAAGGTGAGCGAAAAACCCGCACTTCTGCCACTTTTGCCGGATGCGACGTTGCAGACGGGCACCTTGACCGAGGACACGATGGACCTGTGGGGCGTGGTGCCGATCGCGCACGCGCAGATCCAGCCGGCGGTGCACAACATCCGAGCGTTGCCGAGCTGCGGCGCGCTGCTCCGTTGCCTGGCAACCTGCCACTCGCTGACCGTGCTGGAGGGGAGGATCGCCGGCGACCCGCTCGACGTCAAGGTCAGTGCTGCGGCGTTGCCAGCGCGTGCGCAAAGTCCTGGATGCGTTCGGTTGCAGATGTTCGAGTCCACCGGATGGGTGTTGGAGGACAACCACCGGCTGATCACTGTGCGCCCCCCAGCCAATGTACGGTTAACCTCAAATGACGTCACGGCCTGTCACTGGTCAAGGGTTAATTGGTGTCTTTGTCGCACCCGCAGGCGCAGCAGCAGATCGCCATCGTGAAGCAGTTCCAGTTCGCGTCCGCCCTGCAGCGGATGTGCGTCATCGTGCGGTCGCCCCAGCAACCCAACTTTGAGGTGTTCTGCAAGGGCTCGCCCGAGAAAATCCTCTCGCTCTGTCGGCCGCAGTCGGTTCCCATGGAGATCCATGCGAAGCTGCGCGAGCACACCGCGCAGGGCTACCGCGTGATTGGCCTGGCCACCAAGCAGGTGGGGATGGACTGGGGGGGCGTGGCCCACCAGCCCAGAGACGCCCTGGAGGCGGAGCTCACCTTTCTGGGGCTGCTGGTGCTGGAGAATCGCCTCAAGCCGCAAACTGCGCGCGTCATCCAGACGCTCAAGCAGGCGCAGCTCAAGGTGGTGATGATCACCGGTAGGTCGACGATCAGTCGGTGGATGATCAGGCGCTGACAGCCGCTTGATTGACAGGTGACAACGTTCAGACGGCGGTGACGGTGGCGCGCGGTTGCCACATCATCGACCCCAGCTGGACGGTGGTGGAAATCGTGGCGCAGCCCCCCACCAAGCAGGCGCCGCCCACTGTGGGCTATCACGTGATGGCCACGCCCACCGCCCCCCCAGTTTGCCGGGACGTGGAGAGGGGCGCCGACCGGAAGTGCTACGTCATCACGGGGCCGGCGTACGCCACCGTTGCCAAGCATTTCCCCGAGCTGATGGCGAAGCTGATGGCGTTGGGCGCGGTCTTCGCCCGCATGACCGGCGCCCAGAAGCAGCACGTGGTCGAGCAGCTGAAGAGTCTGGGCTACTACGTAGGTGGGTTGATCCAAAAAAATTTCCTTTGTCATGCCACAAACTGAGGATGCAATGCAACAAAGGCGAAACGTTGCGCCAGCACTGGAGCGTTGCAAATTTTCAACTGCGTCCGTGCCAGTGCGGCCCTGTGCGCGGGGCGCGTCAGCCCAAGGCTAGAGGAACAGAGAGGGCCACGGCTGACGGCGCAGCCTCAACGCACCCGACAAGGACGCCACTAGTCGGCTCAGTTGCGCGCTTTAGGCCACCCACAATGCAGCACAGGGCGGGCTTGAGATTTTTGTGTGTTGCAGCGATGTGCGGCGATGGGGCCAACGACTGCGGAGCCCTGAAGGCGGCGCACGTCGGCATCTCGCTGTCGGAGGCGGAAAGCAGCGTCGCCTCCCCGTTCACGTCCCAGGAGGCGAACATCTCGTGCGCCCCCCAGGTGATCCAGGAGGGGCGCGCCGCCCTGGTCACCTCCTTCGGCGTCTTCCAGATGATGCTCTGCTACAGCCTGACCGAGTTCACCTCCGTCATCATCCTCTACGGCATCGACTCGAACCTCAGCTCTTTTCAGTTCCTCTTCATCGACATTTGCCTGATTTTGAACTTCGCGGCCACGTTCGGGCGCACGCGCGCCCACACGCGATTGGCCCACCAGCCGCCCCGCACCAGCCTCCTGAGCTTCGTGCCCATCTGCTCGATGGCGCTCTTCATGCTATTGGCTGCCGGCGCGCAGACCTTCTCCTTCCACTACATCCAGACGTTCGATTGGTTCGTGCCCTTCCAGTACGACCCAAGCGCAGGCGGCATCGCCGCCTTCACCCCCTCCTACGAGAACTACGCGGTCTTCTGCACCTCCATGTTCCAGTACGTCACGATGGCAGTGACGTTTTCCAAGGGCAAGCCCTATCGGCGCCCGATTTGGACCAATCGCGTCTTCCTGGCGTGCCTGGTGGGGATGACGGGCGCGTGCGCCTACCTGACCTTGAGCCCCGCCCAGTGGCTGGCCGGGGAAATGGAGCTGGCAATGCCGCCCCGCATGGACGGCCGCTTGATGTGCCTCTATGTGGCAGCTGTCACTTTTCTGCTCTGCTACTTTGTGCAGTGTTGCCTAGTGGAAGTGCTGCTGGAGCAGCTGGCAACGCGCTGGGGCAACGCCGCCAAACCCCGCAGGAATCAGCTGGAAAATGGCGTCCAAAACCACGCATTCATCATGCAGGCGCAGTGATTTTCCGCTTTAATTAGCGCAATTAAACAGCACTCAACCACATTGTCTTATCGTTATTAATCACGGTTTATTGGTGCATTTAATGCGCGCACAAGGCCAGTCGATGACTGGCTAAAATGGGCAAATGTTGGCAAGCGAATAAATGCCCGGTCCGCCCCTGTGCGCTTTCGCGTCACGTCAAGGCAGGGCTGATCAAGCAGTCGCCATACGTGCGCGCTGCGCAAAGGCGCCAGCCGTGCAACAGACAGAGAGAGCACGAGGGCGTCAGCTCCGCCCGATGAGGCGCCGCCGCTCGCCCGACAGGGCCGGCTTGGGGTTGAGATGGGGTTTTTCGGAACAGTTCTTTTAGGCAGACTTGAACTTCAGAAAATTTCAACTGCAGACTTTTCCGAAATCTTCAAAGAAAATCCCGATTTTCACCGGGCAACGCCGACTTTTTTTGACATACTTCGCAGGTCGCCGAAGCTGGACAAATTTGTGAAAATTTCAAGGAAAATCCATGTTTCCATCGGGCAACGTCGCCTGAATTGATATTTTTGGACAATCCGTAACCGTCTACATTTTTTTTTGGTTCTGACAGTTTTTTGCGTGAAATGAACGGTCGAGGCATTTTCTTTGAGAGAACTTTCGGTGATCATTCTGGCTACTTTCGACTGAAAACGCTCGTAAAATCAGATTTTGCGACTGGCAACACCGCATTTTTTCGCATTTCCCTTCAACAGCTAACATTTAGAATCTTTTTGGATCTTATGAAGTTTTACGTAAAACAACTGGTTCAGCCCTATAATGGGTGTTGAACTTTGACTGGCTATTCAATGTTTTCAGACGTAGAAATCATAATGTTTGGACCGGCAACATCGCATTTTTTTAGATTTCCGGTGAGTTTAGGGCATCCTGCATCTTTTTGCTTCCAGTGGGTTTTTCCGTGAAATGAACGCTTAAGTCGTATACCGAGTGCTGAACTTTCGGTGACCACCAGCCCTACCTTCCACTGAAAACACTCGCTAAAATCGGATTTTTCGACTAGCAACACCGCATTTTTTTGACATTTGCCGACAATATGTAGCATTTACCAGTTTTTCGGTCTACTAAAGTTTTGCGTAAAATGCCCAGTTGAGGCCTGGTTCGGGCGTTGAACTTTCACTGACTACGCCCACTGCTTTCAACCTAACATTCAGGCAAAAATCGGATTTTTCGATAGGCAACATCGCATTTTTTTGACATTTTTCGTGAGTTTGGGGCATCCGCCATCTTTTTGCTCCTAATAAGTTTTTCCGTGAAATGAACGCTTAAGTCGCATACCGAGTGCTAAACTTTCGGTGACCACCAGCACTACCTTCCCCTGAAAACTCTCGCTAGAATCGGATTTTTCGACTAGCAACACCGCATTTTTTTCACATTTTTTGAATCCCAGAGAAATTCTACAGAAAATCTTATCCGCGACTATTCAGCGTTAAACGACGCTTTCATGAGTTTTTGCGGACTGGAACTTTGAGTGACCACTTTTGAAGCCTTCAACTGAAAAAGCACAGGAAAATCGACATTTTCATTAGGCAACCCTGTAATATTTTGAGTTTCCAGAAAGCAGGGTAAATTTCCAGTTTTTGGTATTCGAGCACTTTTTCAACTACACCAGAAATACGGGGGCTGTGCGATAAATGGCGATGACGCCTTTTTGAAACGTGACACCCCAACGGTCTTTGGCTCATAACTCGATCATCTCACAGGCAATTTCAAAAATTTAACCTGCGTCAAAAAGCCCTTGGAATTCTCCACAAGTTTCGTTAAGAGCATGTTGCAATCCGTCCATGAATAAGGCGACAACCTGGAAATTAACCTCAAAGACTACACRTTGCTGACTCGCCTTCAACCTTTAARAGTGGCTGTAGCCGGCTTAGTTTGGCTGTTAGAGGATCGGTGCTTGGGACGTTTTTTATGGCCAATTGTCTGCTCTTTCCAGTGGCGTGCCCYGTAGGGCTCTAGMGGCTGGCGTTGGGACGTTAWGAAGTTTCAAAGTTTACAGTCCTAAGCGGCGCTCTGTGCGGTTTTGAGGGGCAAGTTTGTCCAGTKTCGGCTGCCGSAGAGTCAAGTGAAACAGATCCATCAATAGGAAATAAAATGTGGGAAAAACCCGAGTTTAATTAAATTAATCGAACCCAGGATTAGTTGATTTTGCTGGAAAAATAGTTTCCCGGTGCGGCCCTGTGCAGGTTTAGGAGGCCGCAAGGTCAACCCGGATGGAGCTGCGACATACGAGCGGGCAGGCTGATGCCGAGTTGAATGGGTGCGACTGAGAGACCGCTAGTGCGGGACGTTACGCGCTTAGGGCCACACCCGATGGGCCACAGGGCCGGACTTTGAGTGGAAGTAAACTGGGCACGAAATATCGGCGATTTCCAGTGGTTTTGACTGGGGAATGGTGGTGATTGTGGTGAATTTTGACTGTCGTCTGGACATTTTCGAAATTGGCAAAAAAATCGATAATTAATTTGTGCATGAAAAACGCACTTTTGCGAATATCTTGAAAACTGTACATTTTTTCAAAAAAATGGACTCTTGCGGAAAAATTGGTGGTCGGCAGAGTCAATGACTGTCAAAATTTGAAAAAAATCCCTACTTAACTTGTGCATGAAAAAAGCGAAAAACTGCTCAAAAAACGCTATTTTGCCAATTTCTTCTAAACTGGGAATTCTTTGATAAAAATAGAATCTTGCCAAAAATGGCCGCTCGACAGCTGCAGTCGCTGGCAAAATAAAAATAAAAAATCTCGAAATAAATTGTGCATAAAAAAGCGAAAAACTGATTAAAAAACGCAATTTAGCCAATTTCTTGGAAACTGGGGATTTTTTGATAAAAACAGGCTCTTGCGAAAAAATGGCCACCAAACAGTCGCAATCACTGGCAAAATTTGAAACAAATCCCCAAATAGTGTTCACAGAAAAGAAGCGAAAAACTGTCTAAAAAACGCAGTTTTGCGATTTTTTTGGATAACTAGGGATTTTTTGAGAAAAACAGACTCTTGCGAAAAAATGGCCACTGAACAGTCGCAATCAGTGGCAAAATTTGRAAAAAATCCCYAAATARTKTTCACAKAAAARAAGCGAAAAACTGYMTAAAAAMCGCAATTTTGCGATWTTTYTTSAWAACTAGKGATTTTTKGASAAAAACAGACYCTYGCKAAAAAATGSCCMCKGRMCAGTSKSAATMAKKGGYAAMATTTGRAAAAAWTCCSTYAATAAYTTKCRCMTAAAAAAAGCGAAAAACTGCATAAAAACCGCAATTTTGCGAATTTCTTCAAAACTAGGGATTTTTTGACAAAAACAGACTCGCACTAAAAAATGCCCCCGGACCAGTGTAAATCATGGGTAAAATTTGGAAAAAGAAAAACTGCCCAAATCAATTTTGCGATTTTCCTGAAACCTGGGAATTTTTGCAAAGAAACACGCTCTTGCGAAAAAATAGCCGCTCGCCAGCTTCAATCACCGGCAAAACGTGACCAAAGTCCCTCAACAATTGGTGCACAAAAACGGCTCAAAGCTGCCTGCAACAGCGCAATTTTGCGAATATCCCGAAAACTGGGCATTTTTCCAAAAAAACCCACCCTTGCAAAAATGCGGTCTTCCAACTGCCGGAGGCAGTGAGAACATTTGAGGCAAATCCCTAAACAATTTGGGCAAAAATTCGGAAATTTGCAGAATTTCCCGCACTGGATCCGGCCCTGGACGTTGGTTCGATAACTAATTTGGCAACAATCGGACATTATTTTAAACAACAGTCGAACACTCGGCCAGTTTATGTTGGAGTGGCCAACCGCGATAATTGGGTCTGGATCGCCGCTGTTGCCAACAGGCCAAACCGGTCCCGATTGCTGCGAAATTCCCCATCCTCAGGTGCCGGATGACCGATGCGATATTGTTCCTCCAGCTCATTAGCCGTGAAGACGCGATGCATTTCGTGCGCCTGCTGCTGTGATTAGTGGTTTTGCGGCTCAAAATGACTGGAAAAACCGTGCTCAAGCAGGTACGTTTCGAGTGGCCTCGTAGCTATTTATAGGCGAAAAACCCGGAAAAAGAACCTTATCGGCGCTGCTAATCTTGCTTAATGCTAACAAATCGCGCTGTTGGCGTTTTTCAGATCAGTCTGGCATTCCTGTCGAACTTCTCCAACATCGCACCGGGCATGGCCATTGGGTTTTCCGCTGTTGCCATCCCGGCCCTTCGTCAGCTCACCACCGCCCAGATCTCCTGGTTCGGTAACGAAACGCGCCAGACTGGCGAAAACTCCCCAGCTTCAACCCCCCCCCCCTCCACTTTGCAGCTAGCATAGCTTCGCTGGCCACGCCCCTCGGCTGTCTCTGCTCCGGACCAATAGCTGATCGATTTGGGCGCCGGAATGCCATCCGGGCGGTCAACGTCTGCGCGCTGATTGGCTGGCTGATCATCGGCGCCGCCTTCTATTCGCCTGCGCAGCAATACGGGCTCCTATTGGCCGGCCGATTCGTCACTGGAGTGGCCGCAGGTAGGACGAAAATTGTCCAGGCCGGGCCAGTGTTTTTGGCATTTTGGCCCACTGGGCGCCACGGCGGTTTGACAGCTGCTTTTCCCGTTAACATGGGCAGTGGTTTGCGACCCCAAAAACTCTGGCCCGGAGGAAAAACTGGGAAAACTCGAAAACTTTGGGAAAAACTGGTTTTTATTGCGGTTTCGGGTGCAAAAGGGGCTGGGGGCGGCGGCAAAACCAGGCGCGCCAGCCTGGACGCAACAATTAAGGGCCGTTTCCATCGTGAAGTTTCCCCACTTCTTTTGCCCGTAACTCCCAAACCCCTCAATGGATGCGAAAAATTCCTCCACCAGCACAAGGCCCGGAAAATTCCCCACACTTCGTGTGCTGCGCACATTTTCGCTCCGCCCCCCGATAAGGGCGCAGCGAGCCCCCAACGAAAACGTCCAAAAAAATCCAATCATCAACCTTCTGCAGCGCATAACTCCACTACTAAAGGGGCGCCGTCAACACCAACAACTCCCTGGCGCAGCTCGCTAAATTCCCCAGCGCTTTGGTTGGGCACGTTTCTGCATCCGGCCATCACCAGGGGCGCTAGCGCACAAACTAACCCTCCAGGACAAACCCAACTCATCCAGCTTCTCCAGCGCATAACTCAAACCTCTCTGGCCCGATTGTCTCAGCAAAAACTTGCCCAGAACGCCCGCTGAATTTCCCTCGTTTTTTGTTTAAAAAGTTTTTCGATTGGCGCCCAACTCACATTGACACCCTATGGCGCTTGACACACCCATCGTCTTTGCGCCATAACTGCTGGACGAGTGGGCCGATCCGGAAAACCCGCGCACTGGCCGAAAGCCCTTTGAATTCTTGTGAGTTTTTGTCGACCACAATTTTCAGTCCGGCTGAAAATAAGAGCGCCCCCCAGCGAAATAACGCGGACGCCTTTAAACGATCGGACACCCCAACTGTCTTTAGCCCAAAACGCGATGGTTAATCAAGGGATTTCAAGCGCGCAAAACATCATCAGTCATCAGAAACGTCGCGAAATTTGCTCCATTTGTTGTTAAAAAACATTTTTCGATAAATCCCGGAATAACCAGGCAACAGGGCCAACAGCAAAGACGCCGCAGCAATCTTATTGGCTGCATGACGTCATCGCAAATAGGCCGGGTCAGAAAATTAAACTGCCGTCAAAAAGCCTCTTGAATGACCGTCAGTTTTTGAAAAAAAAATTTTCAATTCAACTTGAAATAAGAACACCACACCCAAAATAACTTGGACGCCCTCAAATCGTTGACACACCAACTGAGTTTAGCCCAAAACTCGGTCGTCTGTCAAAATATATCAAAAACTGAAA